GTTTTTTCCATTGAAGCGCCCTTCCCGGGGCTCGCACTATTTTTGTTATATATATATATAGAGGGAAAATCTTGAAAGTCAAACTGTGTCAGTGGCCCCCGGTTTACAGCAACAGCGGCTCCCGCCTGAGACTTCCTCGCAATTTAGCCAGGACCCCCGCTCCCGCCCGAGATTTCCTCGCGTTTTGTTCAGGAATCGAGCTCTCGCTTGGGACTTCCTTGGAATTTATTCTCCTGGCGCTCTGGAGTCGCGCTCTCGCTGGATACTTGCTTGCAAGTTACTGAAGAATAGTTCCCTTGCGTTGGAAGTTCCTGCAATTTACTCAAGCGCCGCGCTCCCGACACCCAGGCACCTAGGAGTCGCGCTCACGCTTAGGACTCCCTCACAGCTTACATCGGAATCGGGATCTCGCTGCCCTTCGTGGCCCCGTTGCAGCCCTTCGTGGCCCCCTCGCTTTAATTCGTGGCCCCTTTGCAGCCCTTCGTGGCCCCGTCGCTGCCCTTCGTGGCCCCGTTGCAGCCCCTCGTGGCCTCCTCGCTGCCCTTCGTGGCCCCGTTGCATTCCTTCGTGGCCCCCTCGCTTTGTTTCGTGGCCCCGTTGCAGCCCGTCGTGGCCCTCTCGCTGCCCTTCGTGGCCGCGTCGCAGCCCTTCGTGGCCCCGTTGCAGCCCTTCGTGACCCCCTCGCTGCCCTTCGTGGCCCCGTCGCATCCCTTCGTGGCCCCCTCGCTGCCCTTCGTGGCCCCATATATGTATGCCCTTCGTGGCCCCCGCTCGTTCGCGCCCGTGGTGGCCCCATATGCATCTGTCCTACGTGGCCCAGTTGCTACTCTCCGTGGCCCCATCGTTGCCTTCTGTGGCCCCGCATTATCTGCCCTTCGTGGCCCCCGCTCGTTCACGCTCTTCGTGGCCCCATACGCATTCCCTTCGTGTCCCCGCTGTTGCCTTTCGTGGCCTACTTCGTGTCCTTGTGGCCCTGCTGTCGTTCTCTTTCGCTCTCGCTTTCGCTCGTCGTCGTCGTCGCCGTCGTCGTCGCCGTCGCCGTCGTCGCCGTCGTCGTCGACGTTGTCGTCGTCGTCGTCGTCGTGGTCGGTCCCCTGTCCGTCCCTCTTGGGGTCGGGTCGACGGTCCGCGGCCGCCCCGCCGATCAGCGCTGCCGCTGGCCAGGCCGACAGTCCGCGGCCGCCCCGCCGCTTGCCGGGGCCCGGCCTGCAGGGAAGAAAGGTATACCCCCCAACATGGGCTCGATCGAAGACGAAGAGGGCGGGTATCGAGGGTTTGGGAAATACGCGTTATTGGACGCTCGAGCAGATAAGGGCGAACAGTCTTAAAATGATTGTTGTTGTTATTGTTGTTGGTTGTTGGTTGTTGTTTGTTGTTTGTTGTCGTCGTCCCACCCGCGACCCGCCCCGCGACCCACCCACGACCCACCCCGAGACCCACCCGCGACCCACCCGCGACCCACCCCGCAACCCACCCCGCGACCCACCCCGCGACCCACCCGCGACCCACCCGCGACCCACCCCGCGACCCGCCCGCGACCCACCCCGAGACCCCCCCGGCGACCCACCCGCGACCCACCCGCGACCCACCCGCGACCCACCCCGCGACCCACCCGCGACCCACCCCGCGACCCACCCGCGACCCACCGCGACCCACCCGCGACCCACCTGCGACCCACTTCGCGACCCACCCAAAATTTTCGGCGCCTGCGGCGGGTTTCTGTTGCATTCGTTCCAGGTGGAGAACCTGCGACCCACCCGCGACCCAAACCGCGTTCACTGTACAAGTCACAATTTTCGGCGCCTGCGGCGGGCTGTTTTTGAATCCGTTCAAGGTGGAGGTGGAGAGCCCGCGACCCACCCACGACCCAAACTACGTTCACTGAACAAGCCAAAACTTCGGCGCCTGCGGCGGGGTTCTTTTGCATTCGTTCCAGGTGGAGAACCTGCGACCCAAACCGCGCTCAATGTACGAATCAAAATTTTCGGCGCTTGCGGCGAGGTGTTTTTGAATTCCTTCCAGGTGGAAGTGGAAAGCCCGCGACCCAAACTACGTTCACTGAACAAGCCAAAACATTCGGCGCCTGCGGCGAGTTGTTTTTGCATTCGTTCCGGGTGGCCCACCAGCGATCCCCCCCGCGCTGAACTTGTCAGAGCACGCAAATCGGCGCCTGCGGCGGGCTTGCTCGCATTGGTGTGGGAAAGCGCCCTCGTGCCGTTCCCCCGATCCGGCCCACATTGACTCTACAACAACAATCGGCGCCCGCCCCCTCACTCTTATCCGCAATTGCGGGGTGCTACGATGTCAATCAATCTATCTACCTGTGTGTGCGTGTGTGTGTGTGTGTGTGTGTGCCCGTAGCCTCCCTGGCTCAAGCCTTCTCGGGCTCTCCAAGGAGGAACCTCCGCAAAAAGAGCTGAGGAGGATGGGGAACAATTCGCAGGGTACAGCGAAGAGGAAGAGGAATAATGAGGGAAGGATCATTGATACAACCTATCTGATTATTCATATAACTAATTGTTAGTATTCTTCTTCTTCTTCTCATTATTATTCGGATTCGTATTGATATTCTTCTTCTCCTTCGTAGAATGGCGATCCCGGAAAACAACACTGCGTTATCGCTCAATTGTCAGTTTTACCTTCCTGCCCTTCCACCAGCAGGCCAAACTTCAAGGACCCAGGTGCATGGTTCGAAGCGCCAATGTAGTCTTGTATGTATACATTCCCACTAGAACCATCGCGCGCGCTTCGTGCGCGCTTAGGTTCTAGCTTGTCGAATGCTGACTGCATCGAGATTACAAGGCGGTCATGAATAATGAAGTCAGCATTATATGTTTCTTCTTGCCTCTTCCTCATTATTCCTCCTCCGCTCTCATCGACTGACCGGTGATCTGTCGCCAAGCTTCTTGGGGACCTCGTGACCCCTCCTGGGGGTCTCCTGGGGCGAAGATCTCGGGTTCTCGGTGCACGTTCCCGATAGTGGCCTTCGGCCCATCCCGCCACCGTGTCTGGGTTGTGGGATAGAAGCGCTTCTTGGAAGTTCGTTTGGAATTTGTGGGAGGCTTCACGGGGGCCTCTTGAAGGCAGTTTTGGAGGCCTCTTGCGGGCCGTTTGGGGTGCTCGTGGGGCGTCTTTTTGCGGCCGATCGTCGTGCAACGTTGGTCGCGGTCACGAAACAGCGGGGCGGGCGCCCCCTGGCCCCAAGAGGCCCCAGACACCCACCAGACGCCCGAAGACGACCCAAAGAAAATCCCCTAAGAGGCTTCCATAACGCAGAAAACAGTTATATCTCCAAAGTTTCTGCATGATTTTGAGGATGCCCTGCTCTTCGGTCGGGTGGGCGTCCGAGACCGCAAAACCATCCGAAAGGGCTTCCAGGCAGTCCAAGAGAGCCCGAAGACGGCATAACAGAGTTCCAAGATGGCGTAAGAAATCTTCATGACTGCCCAAGATTGCCCCCAACCGCCCTCCGAAGCATTCCAAATCGTGACCCGGTCGTTCAGTGAGACTGGAGGCAGAGTGGCCTGAGGAAGCCCCCAAAGGCTCCCAAAAGACGCCCAAAAGGCCTACAGAAGGCCTTAAGAAAACCTGAACAACTTCCGTAAGGCCCCCAGAGGCTCTCGAAGGAGGTGCCTCCGCAAAAAGAGCTGAGGATGGGGAAGAATTCGCAGGATAGGGCGAGAAGAAGGAACAAGAAACATGGAATAATCGGGTGATAAGGAGGTTGTGGAGGGGGAGAGGGGGGGAACCAACGTCTGACTCACTATCGCTCTCACGATCGATCTCACTCAACGGGACAACGCGGGCCATCACGGGACACCACAGGACACCGCGGGACACCTCTCGATCTCACTATCGGTCTCACTGTCGATCTCACTATCGATCTCACTCAACGCGACACCATAGGACACCACTGGACACCTCGGGACACCACATCGATCTCACTATCGATCTCACTATCGATCTCACTATTGATCTCACTATCGATCTCACTCAACGGGACACCACGGGACACCATGGGACACCTGTCGATCTCACTATCGATCTCACTTTTTGGGACACCACGGGACACCACATCGATCTCACTATCGATCTCACTATCGATCTCACTCAACGGGGCACCACGGGGCACCACGGGACACCTGTCGATCTCACTATCGATCTCACTTTTTGGGACACCACGGGACACCTCGAGGCACCACATCGATCTCAGTATCGATCTCAGTATCGATCTCAGTATCGATCTCACTCAACGGGACTCCACGGGACACCATAGGACACTACGGGACACCGCGGGACACCGCGAGCCACCGCCGGACGGACGGACGGACGGGGGAGGATCATTTGTCTTGACTTCGCCCTAGCAACGGCGGACACCACGGGACACCACGGGACACCACGGGACACCACGGGACACCGTGGGACACCACGGGCCACCGCCGGACGGACAGACGGACGGGGGAGAACCATTTGTCTTGACTTCGCCCTAGCAACGGCGGACACCACGGGACACCACGGGACACCGCGGGACACCGCGGGCCACCGCCGGACGGACGGACGGACGGGGGAGAACCATTTGCCTTGACTTCGCCCTAGCAACGGCGGGTTCATTCCTCTCGCGCGCCCACGCAGCTTCGCCTCGCCCGCACGCACGCCACGAACGAAACGAAACGATTCCCACTGCGATCTCACCTCCCAACCTCCGATCATAACGGCGATGTCAGAAAAAGGCAACAAGGAAACATCGCTAATTTGTCTGCTTGACCTTCCTGCCACTGCGCCTGCATACCAAACTTTAAGGACCAAGGTGCATGGCGCGAAGCGCCAATGCAGTCTTGTATACATGTTTGCATGTATGCATGCATGTAGGTATATGTGTATGCACATGTATGTATTTACATGCGCACACATATGTATGTGTATGGTTTTGCGATGATATTTCTTAGTGAAAAGCACGTTCGAAGTCGGGGCTGCCCTCTCGGCAAGATGGTGCGCCAGACCTCGTCGAATGTGTCCTCATCCGACCGCGCGGGGTCGGCGTCGGGGAGGAGCTGCCGCGCGACTCGCTCATGGCCTCGGGGGGACGGGGGGGCAGAGGATGGCGGGATCGGGTCGGACCAGACCGAGGAGCAAAGTGACGGCACACACACAACTTCGGAGGTCCGCGCGGACCTCCGAACGTTTATGCTTGTGCTACTTTGGTTCTTGGAGCGGAAGCTCAAATGTGTGGAGACCAGCCGGGCGCACGCCAACATGGATTGGAGATCCATGGATCTGGCGCGAGAGCGCCAGATCCACAGATCGGGAGAGGTACCCCCGAACGATGAGGCCAACGTCACCTCATTTGGCGACGGGTCGCCCCGATTACGTGAGGAAGCGGGGCCCGTCGTAAGTCCACGCGCCTTGATCCTTGTTTGCGTTACTTTGAACCAAGGCGAAGAAAAAGCAGCAGAGAGAGTTGGCGGCGCGCACAAGGGGGTAGGAGGAGGGGGAAGGCTTCCTGGAAGGAGGCTGCTTCTTGAAGGCGCCGGCCCTACACCTATAGATAAGGCCTGCGCCTTTTTAGAATCAGGGGTGCTTCTAAGAAACCTTCCCCCCTCCCCCTGCCACCCCTCTACGCGCGGCCGAGAGTGGGAGAAAGAGAGAGAGAGAGAGAGAGAGAGAAAGAAAGAGAGAGAGAGAGAGAGAGAGAGAAAGAGACAGAGAGCTCTGATCTCCGCCCAGCCGCGGTGCGAGGGGACGCCTGCCTCCACTTCGTCGGTCGCGAAGCCAGGGCGAGGACGAGGACGAAGAGGAGGAGGAGGAGGAGGACGGACGCGGACGCTCGCGTGCGTGCCGTGGCGCGGTCCCTCTGGGAACGGAGCGGTGGCGCCGTGGCGCCACGATACTGTGGTGTATGGTAAAACATGCATTCGAGACACATACAAAAAATTAGGTGCATCAGAGGGGAGGGGGGGAGGAGGGAGAGGCATCCTTGTTGTCGGAGTCGTTGTGTGTGCGTGTCGTGGATGATGATGCCGTCGTTGATGCTTCACACTCGTATGGTCACATGGCAATCTCAAGTTTGGGAGCTGGAGTTGAAGCCGGAGAGATGGGATCCAGGAAGAAGAGGAGGAGGAGGAGGAGGAGGAGGAGGAGGAGGAAGAGGAGGAGGAGGAGAGGGAAAAGGAGGAGGAGGAGGAGGAGGAGGAGAGGAGGAGGAGGAGGAGGAGGAGGAGGAGGGGGAGGGGGAGGGGGAGGGGGAGGGGGAGGGGGACAAGCTAGGTGCGCTCGCGTCATATCTGACATCCCACCCCTCCCTCCCATCCCTTGCCATGGCGCAGATCCCCTCTCTACTCGCACAGTCGGATGTCAGGCAGGGCGATGATCCCGAAAGGGTACGCGATGCATTGTAGAGCACGGCGTGGCATGGCATGGCGTAGAAGAGCACCGCGAAGCGTAGTTCAACCTGGCATTGCATTGCATGCCGTGGCACGGGAAATGACGCCAGCGATGCAGCGGGAGCACGAGTCGAAACGAGCGGAACCGCGGAAATGAGGCCAGCGCTGCAGCGGGAGCGGGATTCGGAACGAGCGGAAGCACGGAAATGAGGCCAGCGCTGCAGCGGGAGCACGATTCGGAACGAGCGGGGCCCGAAAATGAGGCCGGCGCCTCAGCGAGAGCAGCATTTTGGGAAAAAATGTAGGCGAAAGCCTAACTCCGGGGAAGGTAGAAACTCAGCATTTTCAAAAGAAAAAATTGTATTGGAATGGCCTTTTTTCGGCGCCGCCTCGGAACTCGATTTTCCGGCGCCGGCCGGAACCGGCTCCGGACCTGGCCTGGGCGCCGGCCCGGGCGCCGGCTCGGGCGTCCAGCCCGGGCGCTGGCTCGGGCGCCGGCCTGGGCGTCGGAATCGGCCCGGGAGGCCTCCCGGGCGCCGGAAGCAGAAATTCAGCATTTTCAGAAGAAAAAAAAAATTAGAATGGCCTTTTTTCGGCGCCGCCTTTTCCGGCACCAGCCGGAACCGGCTCCGGACCCGGCCCGAGCGCCCGCCCGGGCGCTGGCTCGAGCGTGCAGCCCGGGCGCCGGCGGGAATGATGCCAGCGCTGCAGCGGGAGCACGATTCGGAACGAGCGGGGCCCGAAAATGAGGCCGGCGCCTCAGCGAGAGCAGCATTTTGGAAACAAATGCAGGCGAAAACCCAACTCCGGGGAAACCTGTGTAAAAAACAGTACGCGGGGGGGGGGGGGGGCGAATATTCCCAAGACGTCATCAGGGGAAGAGGGAGAGTAGTATTCATATTGAATTGTGGAGGTGGAGGAGGAGGAGGAGGAGGAGGAGGAGGAGGAGGAGGAGGAGGAGGAGGAGGAGGAGGAGGAGGAGGAGGAGGAGGAGGAGGAGGAGGAGGAGGAGGAGAGAGGAGGAGGAGGAGGAGGAGGAGGAGGAGGAGGAGGAGGAGGAGGAGCTGTTGCTGCTGCTGCTGCTGCTGCTGCTGCTGCTGCTCACGGCTACTGGAAGGCTCCCTCTGAGGAGCGAGTTATACATACTCACGCGTGCAACTCTACACGTGCAGCGCAGCTCGAAAAAGAGGCGCAGGGACCGAGACGGTACCCCGCCAGCGAGGGGACCGAGCGAGGACCGCACGGGAGGTCGACGGGGGCCCGAGGGACGAGGAGGAGGACGGGTGGCGGGCCTGGTCGGATTCCGCTGGCAGCGACAGCGACCTCCCTCTGGCCGTCTGCCTCGAGTTCCTCCGCCTGGCGCAGCCCAGCGTCCCTCATCAGGCTCAGTGGGAGGCTCACCTCCTGCAGCCGAGGAGGACGCGGATATCGATCTCACCGACGGCGCCCTGCTGCAGGAGTGGCGTCCCGTAGACCAGCTGCGGCCGCCTCGGCTGCAAGCGCCGCCGCCGCGTAGGTCTCGCCCGCCGCCTGGTAGGTCGTCGCCTCCGCCGCCGTCGGGACCCGGCGGAACCGATAACTCGCCTGCGCCGTGATCCCAGGAGGGCGGTTGCGATCGGGACACATGCGGATCGCCGCGATGCCCGCCGACCGGCCCGAGTAGTCTTCGTCGTTGACGTCGCCATCAGGAGTACAGATGATTAGCCGCCACATGTCAATCCGATTCGGTGCCTGTGGTAGCAAATGGCCCAACACCAGACGCTGATGCCAGAGCTGGTCGCCGACGTACAGCACCCACACCCAGCGGTCGGGCAGCAGCGAGGACATCAGATTCCCCAGCAGCTGTGGTCACCGTCAGGCGCGGCACGACGAGGCGGAGGACTGCACGCAGCGCGCAGCTGTTCACGGTGCCGGGCGCGAAACCCAGCACGATGGCAAGCAGCACCCACCAGTAGTCGACCGCGCCCAGGCTGGGCGCCTCTGCCCGGGACGCGTCGGCGGCCGGGCACTCCTGCAAAATCGGCGCCGGGGCCCCAGGACGCGGGGGTCAGGCCGCGCACCGCGGACACGGGTGTGTCGTCGGACAGCCCGGGCACACAGGGCACGGAGGCGCCGATGGGCACCGAGAGAGGTACGATACAGCTATCTGGGAAACGTATTCGAGGTATGGGGAGAGAGCTGCGAGCATGGGGTGTGGGCTTGTTCAAGCTTGAGCACAGACGTTTAAGGAGACGACCCTCGACGCAATCCAGAGACAGACAACCACATGTGAACAAATGTCTCTATCTCTCTCTATATATATACACAAATGAAGTTACACATACACGTATTCGTATATGTCTCTGTAGGTGTGTCTGCACATACATATATACATACATATTCTTACTGTTTATCTATTATTATGATTACTATGGCTACTATGATTTTTTTTATGATTCTTATACTTATCACGATTCTTAGGGTTATTATTAATATTACCATCATCAATATTTCTAATTATTCTTAGTGTGATGATGCCGAGTCTTGTTAATAATAATGCTACTACTAATATTACTGTTAGTAAAAATATTAATACTACTACGTATTCTTCAGAGTGAGGGGGCCGAACGGTCATTCATTGTCCCTGGGTGCGTGGCTGAAGTGAGATTCCGCGGTGCGGATTCGTGTTGTTGTTGTTGTTGTTGTTGTTGTTGTTGTTGTTGTTGTTGTTGTTGTTGTTGTTGTTGTTTGTTGTTGCTGTTGTTTGTTGTCGTCGTCCCACCCGCAACCCGCCCCGCGACCCACCCGCGACCCACCCGCGACCCACCCGCGACCCACCCGCGACCCACCCCGCGACCCACCCCGCGACCCACCCCGCGACCCACCCTGCGATCCACCCTGCGACCCACCCGCGACCCACCCGCGACCCACCCCGCGACCCACCCCGCGGCCCACCCCGCGACCCACCCGCGACCCACCCGCGACCCACCCCGCGACCCGCCCGCGGCCCACCCCGCGACCCACCCGCGACCCGCCCGCGACCCACCCGCGACCCACCCGCGACCCACCCGCGACCACACCTTCGACCCAAACCACGTTCAAGGTACAAGCCAACATTTTCGGCGCCTGCGGCGGGCTTTTTTTGCATTCCTTCCAGGTGGAGAGCCCGCGACCCACCCCGCGATCAACTCGCGACCAACCCGCGACCCAAACCACGTTCAGGGTACAAACCACATTTTTCGGCAGGTGGAGAGACCGCGGCCCACCCGCGACCACGTTCAGGGTACAAACCAATTTTTTCGGCGCCTGCGGCGAGCTTTTTTTGCATTCGTTCCCGGTGGAGAACCCGCGGCCCACCCGCGACCCAAACCACGTTCAGTGTACAAACCAATTTTTTCGGCGCCTGCGGCGGGCTGCTTTTGCAGGAGGACGAGGAGGGGGAGGAGGAGGAGGAGGAGGAGGAGGAGCAGCAGGAGGAGGAGGAGCAGCAGGAGGAGGAGGAGGAGCAGCAGGAGGAGGAGGAGGAGGGGAGGGGACGACGACGATGACGTCGACGACGACGACGACGACGAAAAGGAGGAGGGTGGAGGATCGGGAGGGGGGGAAGAGGAGGAGGACGACGAGGAGGAACATGACGACAATGGGAGGACGATGATGGAAGGACGAGGGGGGGAGAGGGAGGACGAGGAAGAAGCGGAGGAGGAGGAGGAGGACGAGGTGGAGGAGGAGGACGACGATGACGATGAGAACGAGGACGAGGACGAGGAAGAGGAGGAGGAGTAGGAGGCGGAGGAGGAGGAGGAAGAGGAGGAGGAGGAGGAGGAGGAGGAGGAGGAGGAGGAGGAGGAGGAGAGCGCCATCGACAAGGAAGGTGGGGGCCACGAGGTCCGCCGGCTTGACGACGCCCGCGTCGCCCGCGCCCGCCCCCTCACTCTTATCCGCAATTGCGGGGTGCTATATATTATTGTTGTTGCCCCCCCCCCGCAGCTCGGGGCGCGAAGCCCCGCCAACGCTGCATCCGTGGCCGCCCGAGCTGGTCTGGCCCGCCGCGTCTCCCGCCTGCTGGGGCATGGGCGGCCCTCCCGAACGAGGATGCCGCCACCACCAGCGTCCCTCCAAGAGGGCATGGGAGGGCTCAGAAGAGCTCCAAGAGGGCTCCAACAACGGGGCTCCAAGAAGACACCACAAGGACCCTGGAGACGTGCCACGGCCGTGGCGCGTCTCCGCGGCCCTCTTGGGGACCCCTTTGGGATTCTCTTGGAGCCCTCTTGGGCCCCTCCAAAACGGCTCGGGAGCGTTCAGAGGAACTCCAAGAGGACTCCAAAACGACCCCAGAGATGGGCCACGGGCGTGGCACATCTCTGGGGCCCTCTTGGGGTCCTTCGGAGCCCTATAGCGCCCCTCGTAGTTGCCTAGGAAGCCTCAGAAGCATCGTCCTCGTCACTGTTCCTGACCCTGGAGGAGTGGGCGGCACCGTGGCCTCGACCTCACGCGGGCTCAAACAAGAAGACGCCTTGGGGGCGCCAGGCGCTGGAAGGAAGAGAAGGAAAGACGGAGGAGGAGGAGGAGGAGGAGGAGGAGGAGGAGGAGGAGGAGGAGGAGGAGGAGGAGGAGGAGGAGGTGGAGGAAGAGGAGGTGGTGGATGAAGATCACGGGTCCCCTGGCGAGTTATCCGGATTACAGCTCGAGGTGCGTGCGGCGCGATGCGCGTATCGCGCTGTGTAGCGCGGCTGGCGGACGCCCGCTCCTCAGGACGTGGTCTTACACGGTGTGGAAAATCTCGTGGGCGGTTGCGGCCTGGAAAAGGCCGCCAACCTAGTCCAGCCCCAGCCGCTCGCGTGTCGAAGACAGGTCGAGCCAGGCCAGGCTTCGAATAGGTCCAAGAGGCAATCGCATTCGAAGTAGTCCTTCCGCTCCTCCTCCTCCTGTTCCTCCTCCGCCTCCTCCTCCTCCTCATCCCCCTCCAGGACGGAGGATAGGGAGGAGGGGGAGCAGGATAATGGAGGAGGGGGGAGGAGGTCCGTTGATGTCTCAACTGGCCCTTCCCTGATTATGATCAACGATCGCTCAGCGAAATATTGTGGCTCCTTGGAGGGATTGGCGACTGCGCTGAGAAGAGGGCACGTCGAGATCGCGCAATGGCCATCGATGGGCATCAACTGCTCTGCCCCTCTTTCCCTTCTTCTCATCCGTTTCGCTTCTTTCTGATTCTCTGGCTCTTCTTGCTCTTCTTCCTCCTGCTCTGTCTCCTCCATTTCCACGTCGAGAGCCGCACCTGATGCCACCTCCCTCGAGACTAAAAGGCCAAGCACGGTCAGAAACGCCAGGGAGCCTGAAAGCGGTTGGGCCCATGCGAGCGTGAGGGGCGCGAGGCCATCGTGTGCCGACGCACTGCGCAGCCATGTGCTCCTCCGCAATCTTGCACCCCGCCTTCTGCACTACTGCCTCCCTCCTTCTGGCACTTGGCGCTCCAGCTCTTCTTCTTTCGTGCCTTCCCTCCTCGTCTCCTCCTCTCCCTTCCCTCCCTTCCCTCCCAGCTCCCTTCTGTACTCTTGCATCTCTCCATCTCGCACATGGCCTCCCCGCACCTCTTCGTTCGCGCCTCACCTCCTCGCCCCCAGGTATGGCCAGAAATCGTATCCGAAGGAGAACGAAAGGGTGTAGCGTGTAGCCCATGGGCATCGTGGCATTTACGCAATCCCACACCCCGTCGCTCCGAAATGGAACCCATGACCCCGAGCATCAGCCGTGCCTCCTCGCTCCCCCCGAGGAACCAACAACGGCATACTCGGCGTTGCGCCCCCCTCCCTGGCGCGCGGAGCGCGCCAAGGGCGGCGCCAGAGGCCCCGCCAGGGGGCTCCAGCGCCGATCCAAGAACTGTGCGCGGAACTCCGATCATTTATGCCTACCTAGAGGCCTCCCAGATGGGGTCCGAGTAGATGGGGTCGGAGGATCGCGCCGCATCGCCAATGCACCGCCGATGCATCGGCGATGCATCGCCGACGTCGGCGGCGTATCGGCGACGACGGCGTGGAACAAATTGGGCTCCGCATCGCGCCGCATCGCCGATGCATCGGCGATGCGGCGCGATCCCCTGACCCCATCTACTCGGACCCCATCTGGGAGGCCTCCAGAGGACGCCCAGGGATCTCTCCTGCCGTTGCCCTTGCTGCTGGTGCCCCTGGGACCCCTGGGGCCCAACATCATCTGGGAGGCCTAGATCACCTCATGTTTTGTTCCCCGATTCCATCCTCACCTCCCCCCGACGAGGTGACAAAAACCTCACGACGAAACCCTTCGGGGAACACTTTGGGGAGGATGGCGGGGAAGATCAGGAGGAGGAGGAGTAGGAGGAGGAGGAGGAGGAGGAGGAGGAGGAGGAGGAGGAGGAGAGTGAGGAGGAGGAGGAGGAGAGGAGGAGGAGGAGGAGGAGGAGGAGGAGGAGGAGGAGGAGGAGGAGGAGGAGGAGGAGGAGGAGGAGGGGAAGGAGGAGGAGGAGAGAGGAGGAGGAGGAGGGGGGGGGGAGGAGGAGGAGGAGGAGGAGGAGGAGGAGGAGGAGGAGGAGGAGGAGGAGGAGGAGGAGGAGGAGGAGGAGAGGAGGAGGAGGAGGAGGAGGAGGAGGAGGAGGAGGGGAGGAGGAGGAGGAGGAGGGGAGGAGGAGGAGGAGGAGGAGGAGGAAGGGGAGGAGACGCACGAGAGGTGATTAAACGGAACCCCCACGACGAGGCGCCCCCCTCTCTCTCGCTCGAGCCGCCGCCGCCCTTCGCCGCCCCGCGCTCCGCCGCTGGCCGCACACGCCTCTGGGTGCCTGGCCGCCAGGGGCCGACCGAGAACTGCCCCCCGTCGGCGCCGAGACTGCCGCGTGCCGTCCCTGAAGTCCCGTCCCCAGACATGCTCGCGTCGTAAGAAAGTCAGGACGTTTTTTTTTTTTTTTTTTGTTGTTGTTGTCATTTTCGGCCTCGGGGGGCCCTCGCCGGGCCTCGGGACCGTCAAACAACGACGCAGGATGGAAAACCGGTCCCGGGGAACAGGTCGGGACTTCCAGGGACCGCGTCCTGAAAAAATCAGGACGTCGCATGTCTGGGGTCCCTTCTCCCTCACTTCCCATATTATTTTGGCACATTTCTCTGGGAATCGACGGTTCATTGTCTGTGTGTGTTTTTTCCCCTCCTGGATCCAGGAGGCTTAGAGTGCTGTCCCTGAGGTCCTGGCGCTGCACATCTTTGCAACGGGCGTTCGCCCGGCTACATAGGGGCCTCCCAGATGGGGTCCGGGTAGATGGGGTCGGAGGATCGCGTCGCATCGGCGATGCATCGGCGATGCATCGCCGACATATCGGCGACGTCGGCGGCGTATCGGCGACGACGACGTGAAGCAAATCGGCTCCGCATCGCCGATGCATCGGCGATGCTGCGCGATCTTCCAACCCCATCTACTCGGACCCCATCTAGGAAGCTTAGAGTGCTGTCCCTGAGATCCTGGCGTTGCATTTATCCACAACGGGCGTTCGGCTGGCTACAGGCCCCGGGGCCGTCGCAGATGGGTCCAGCTAGGAGAAACGACGCAGAAGGATGGGGTCCAGGCGGGGCTCCAGTCGGGATTTTTTGCGATGCTGCCATTTGTTTGGCAACGTCGCCTGCCTCCCGGCAGGCAGGACCCGTCGGCATCGGGTCGGGGACCTCGGATCGGATAGACCGGGCTGCGTCTTAGTAGCACGGGGATGAAGTCGAATCGGATCGGCCGCGCCAATATGCACAGCAACGCAACGCAGGCATCCGGCACGCATCGGACTGCGGGAACATCGGAATCAAATCGGGTCGGGCCGGCCGGAGTCGATATTTCGCACGAAGGTTAACGGTCGGGTCCTGGACCCCGGGGGCCCTCCTCCATGACCAGCTCAGTCATGATCCCGGTCGGTTTTTGGCAGTCCTGGGTCCAGGGAGGGCCCCAGGAGACCCGGAAACGGGGAAAAACCTTAAGGCCCCTTTCCCCTCAAGAATCCATCTCGGAGATCTGATGCCTGGATTTTTTTCATACGTGGTCCCCAGAAGCCCCGACCCTTTTCCCCAGGGCAGGATTTTCATCGTCAGTCGTGTTCTGACGATTCTGGGGCCCGGCGGGGGCTCCCAGAGGCCGAAGCCAACGAAAGCCCTCCGTCTCGTTTTTTTTTTTTTTGTTTTTTTTTTTGTTATTTTATTTTTTATTGTTGTTTTTTTTGTCCAGCGCGTTAGATGCCTGGGGCCTGCTTCGTGGCGAGATGTCGAATCGGACAGAGACCGGACCGAAGTGGGCCCCGGCCGGTGCTGGCGGTGCCGGCGCCCGGAGAAGCCGAGGCCGCGGCGCCGCACGGCGTCGAAGAGGGCCCACCTGGAGACCTGCATCCCCGCGGCCCCCCCGCCGGGGGTACCAGGACGTGCGCGCGTCGTGGAGAACACATGACGGGATCATCCAAATCGTCGTTGTCGGCCTTTGGGGGCCCTCGCTGGGCCCCGGGCCCGTCAGAAAGCGACTCGCGACGAGAAGCCGGCCCTGGAGAAGGGGTCGGGCCCCCGGGGGACTCCGTAGTGAAAACAAGAAAGACACCGGAACCTCAGGTCACCTACCCTCGCGTATCGCGCCCCACGATGCTCGATTATACTCGCGCCACCGCGCCTTCGTGCCGCCCTTTTGGCAGCCGCTCGGGCCCAGACCGCGACGCGCGATTACCTTCGCGCCCCGCAGGTGACCTGGCGAATCGAGAGATCGGATCTGAGCCCCGACCCAGAACATGAGACCCTCCGCCGGCCCAAATGGAAGAACGGGTAATTAGCCTCCCCCAGGATGCCCAAGAGCACCCGACAGACACGAAGAACATCAGGGCACCTTCCCCGAACCGACCTCGATCTCATACCTCGGCCCCGACCGTACGGTCGGGAACTTGTGCTTAGCGTGTCGCCGCGGCGGCTCTGGCGATACGCCATGCCCTTCAAGCAGATCGTGGGGCGGGAGGCTCGGAGCAGCTCGGGGCGTGGACGCTCGGAGACCGGGAAGTGGATGGCGTGCCGCGCCGAGGCGTGATGGGCCAGAACTGGCGGAGCGCCGCGCTGTCCAAACGATCCCAGCCTTACACCTGCGGAGGTCCGCGCGGATTCCTCGGATCGGCGCTGGGCCCACCCCTGCCCTGGCGCGCGGAGCTTGCCAGGGAGCGCGCCAGGGGCGGCGCCAGAGGCGCCAGGCACGGAGGCCCACTGTCGGTCCAAGAGATCAGCGCGGGCTTCCGACAGTCTATGTCTATACCAGCTGCTTTTTCCTCGAAGAACGCCTCCCTTGTGTACAGCCTAAGATATGATCAAGAGAGCAGGTTTAAGACATCGGGGCCAACTTCCCGGAAGTTTATTGAAACACACCTGGGAACATTTCTGTTGTTGACGCTGGAGGGGCGAACGTGCTCAAGAAACTGGGCCGGCTTTTCGGCAAATTGGTTAAGAAGTGCTGGCCCAGCTGTTCGGGAGGAGATTTCTTAACCAGATGCTCGACTGTAGTCCCAAACCCCGATAGCAGCGCACTGGCGCGCGAGCGTGCGGCGCCTTCGGAGGCGCTGCCTGGGAGCTGCGCGCGGCGCCCTGGAAGCGCTGCCTCGGAGCTGCGTAGGCGCTGCCCACGGTCCTTGGAAGTGCCCTCTAGGAGCGAATGCGAGTTGCAAATGCCTGCCTAGGGCGTACCAAGTGCTGCGCACGCAGTTAGGAAACGCTGCCTGGGGGCTTCCCAACGCTCCCCTCACGCGTACTGGGATCGGCCAAGAAGCAACGCTCTCGGACCCGCCGCAGGCTCCAGCAAATTCTTCCGGGGGTCGTGAACCGGCCAACGTGCAAATGCGTCTGCACACCACCACCGCCCTGCTCTTCCCTAACACACAGGCCATTCCAGAAAAACCTTGACCCTCGATCGTTCTCCTCTGCCCCCCTGTGCCAGGAAAAGAACACCAAATCTATTCGTCATTTCTCCGATCCCGAGCCGGCCCCGTGCGCCTTCCCGCAGCGCGAAGAGCCCGGGCGCAGCCCCAGAGGGCCGCACGGCCCAGGGAGGTCTCCAAAAGTAACTCCTCCCTGTCGCACCCCGGGGCCGGTCAAAAGGGAGGGCCGGGCGTTTTGCCCGAAACCTCACCACTTATGAACCAGAAGCTTAGAAACTGGCAGCAGTTTCACAGGTGGAGGGCGGGTCGCTTCCAAAATATGACTCTCGCCTTAGCGCCGCGCGTATTCGTTCCAATCATGTGCAGGAGTTTCGCGGATTGAGGGCGGGTCGTTATCACAATGTTGCGCTCGCCATATCGCCGCGCACACTCATTGTAAACACTATCAGAAAGAGTTTCACGGATTGATGGCGGGTGGTTTTCAAAATGTGGCCCTCGCCTTAGTGCCGCGCGCGTTCGTGTAAAATATTTGCAATAATTTCGCAGATTGAGGGCGGGTCGTTTTCAAGATGTGGCTCTCGCCCGAGCGCCGCGCGCATTCCTTAAAAAACATGTGCAAGAATTTCACGGATTGAGGCCGGTTCAAACTTCACAATGTGACTCTCGCCTCAGGGCCGCGCACATTCGTGTCCCGAGAACGGTGTTTTGGCACGTTTCAGGGTCTTCAAACGGATGTCTCCCAACGAGGTAATTCCCTCAGTGGACATGAACCCTTGTAGGGGCTCAGGGGGAGCTTGGAGGGAGGGTTTATTCCAATATCGTTGATGCGTCTTGGGTTTCCACCGACTGCAGGCAGCAGGCATATCGCACTTACAGCGCTGCCACGACGTAGTGAACGCTTACTACATGGTGCGCCCGAGGCGATTTTAGAGTGCGTCGACCCCTGCTGCGATCCCAGGGGCAAGACGTGCATCACGGACCGAATTGTTCACAATAGTTCTCTCCTGGAAGACGAAGCGGGCAGCTTCGGGCAAGAGGCCAAATCGGGCCTCTTTCCTGGGGACACACGACGTAACTCTCCTGTAGAACCTATTCCGAGCCTGTGCTCGAATGTTTCGCGGACCTTTGCGTGATCAAGAATTGGTTCCCTTACCTCGAGGCCTGTTTGCCTTGGGATGATGAGTGGGGTGAGCAGTTCACGATGACTGGCTATGTCGACGACGTGGCCAACAACATACAGGAGGAGGGGGAGGGAGACATTGCGATGAAGATTGCGAAGGGAAATCAGCTCGAGAACGGTGCGATAGACAAGGGTCTAAGCCGGGTGGGAACAGGGCAACACAAGGACAAGCAAGAGAGCATTTGCTATCTTCGAGGGCGAGGCGCCCTCGATGTACAACGCCAGCTCTGCAAGGGCTAGATCGGTGGAGTCGATGGCCGCACACTTCATCACTGCATATACCTAGGCGGCTTGCAAGCAACGGCTTGCACCCCAGGGCCCGAGATCCGCAAGATAATGAATGCGCTGAAGGCGGCGTTGCACAGCATGGGCCGCTTCTGGTATTCGGATGCGCCCTTCAGCATTAAGAGAACGATGGTCAAGGGGCTCTTGGTGAACACAGCGTTGTGGGGGATGGGAATCGTAGAGCATGCGTCTGGGCCGCTACGCGAGGGGGACTGGAGGCACCTTCAGAGCTACATAGTTGCCAAATGCGCAGGGCGGTCCTCAAGGGAACTTCGTCTTGGGATCCTGGAGCGCAGCACGTTCGGGTAGAGCATCACTTGGAGGTTCTTCGGAAGTTCAGAATGGCCCATTTGTTTATTGGAGCTTCAGATGCGCAGACTCAAATGGCTCCAGAACCTCGTCGCGCACAAAACCGATAACGCTCAGTTCCTGTCGGTCGTATTCGGTAAGCTTGCTTCGGCGACCCGATTTTTACCTCAGAAGGAAGAGTGGCCGGCACGGCCAACCCGGCCAAGCAGTTTCAGGCCTATTTAGGTAGGCTTCAGGACCTTGAGGCTGGGGCATCTCCTCTTGCATGGCAGTCTCCCTTCGGCGTGTTTTTTGAGGACGACGCCGACTTTTGCAGTATTGATGTCGATGAGCTTCGCGCTCGCTTCCTAGTGCTGAATACAGAAGGCAATGAATCCACCTGGCGCTCTTTTGAAGGTGGGCGGCACAGTTGCGAGGAGCCGTGGGACGACGGGTGTGTGTGTGTGTGTGCAACACCTGGTGGCCGACTAAAAGGCAATTATATGTGCGCGTAGCGTCCGCGGTCGGAGGGACACATGGTCGGGCACGCATCGCTAAAGTCGCCACGAACACAAGCTATTGCGCACTATGCGAAACACCTTTCGAGAGCAGGAAGTCGCTCGGCAGTGCGTCGTCGCTAGCTTGCGCAGGCCATGCTGTCCTAAGGCTCTGCAAGATTCAACTCCCCCCTCGTCGACCCGAAGTTGGAATGTGTGGTTTCTCTTGGGAAGCTCGAGACCGCAGCTGAGTATTTCAAGCGCGCCCGTGAGCACATCGTTCCATATTCGGCAGTACGATGGCGTGGCTGGCGCAGCCAGCGACGAGACCTCGTGGCAAGAGCTTCGCGGAGGCAGTCATCAAGGACAAGAAGGCTCGCGCCCACGAGGGCGAGGACGAGAACGAGTCCATGGGCGAAGTACTGGAGACGATGGTGCAGCTCGAGGGACGGGCGAGGACGCTCGAGAACGAATGCCAGACGGCGATGCTCATCAACAAGAAAAGCACAGTGGCCGAGGCAGTGGGAACCCACTTCCAAGCGTGCCTGCAGCTCCGCACAGATCAGCCACTGCAAAACCACGGGCCTCCAGCATCCCACAAGCTTTCAAGAGTTCTCAACGTTATCTTGAGCTACCAGCACAAGGATTCTTCAGCGAGGTGTGATGATAAAGGCAGGTATCACACGACTCCACACTATGTCATGCAAGTCAGGGCTAGCAGCAGCAGCAGTAGCGCGGTGGGTGCGCGAGATGATAATACTACCCACGTTTCAGAAACCAGGCAAGGAAACCAAGGTGCGCATTAGGTTCAGCTTCCAAGGGGAACTCGTACTTCCGCGGCAGACGGAGCAGCGCGATCAGCTGATGAAGGCGCTGGAGGAGGGCGAGAAGAACATCCGATTGCAATCGACACCAGTGGAGACGCCCACGGAACATTTCCAGATGTCAGGCCTTTGCATTGCAGTGGAGATCATGATCGGCAAGGCCCTGAGGTCGATGGGGGCGTCCATGCAGGCCGCGCCCCGCGGGGCAATCTAGCACGGAAAATACCAGGTGGCCGTGGAGGAGGGTGCCGTAATTCATAAGCGGAGACACAGCTCATCATGGACATCACCACCCTCTGATCGGCTGCATTGGTGGATCTTGGCTCGTCGTCGCCACGGCGTCAGAACGCAAATCCTGGGTGTGCCGTTGCGGCTGCCTTGGTTCGTCGTCGCAACCGGTGTCAGAACG